TACGCTGTGGATTCTGTGCCAGTAGAACTGACTTGGATTCCAGATTCCAATCCTACGCGGGATTCTGTACTCCTTGAAATAAATTCCGAATTCCATGATTTTTAGTTTGGAATTCAGGATGCCACAAGCAAAAATTTCTCGGATTCCGGAATAGGTTACTCGGGTCGAAACAGTGGTTAAGTTGCTCAAGGTGCCTTAGTTTCCTTCGAAAAGCTTATGTCCCATATAATGAAATCTTTCTCAAAATCTGAGCAGCCTGACATGTTTTTGTTTTTGTTCTGTTTTTAAAGAGGCAATAAAAAGGAATCTGAATGACATGAAAAATGAAAGAGCGCGAAAACCAGCAAAAATACTTCAATTTCAAGTTGATTTCTATGAGCGTGGACGCGTGGTCAGAAGTTTCTCAACAGTCAACAAATTTAAGGGGTTAACTCACTTTTACACACCATGAAAAAAGTAACAAATACTTACGATCATTGGTTTGACTTTTCCCCAGTGATGTTCGAATGAAAAACCAAATCAGCAACAAAGCAAGAATCCGACGGGAAAGAGGAAGCATTTTCAAGGATACCTTGAATAATTAAATTCTTAAAGAAGGCTTCTACATTTTGAAGATTTCTTCCACTGCCGCTCTTGTAATTGCGTTTGTTTTCCTCAGATAACTGACAAAATTAGTCGTTAATTGCGCGCGCGTACTCTGAACAGCAAAGTAAACTCTTCTGATAACGCAGTTTAATACGAGCGTTGCGAGAGACGTCTTCGGCATTTAGGCGCATTTTACGCCAAGGTATTTTTTCACCTTACAAATCGCCCTGCTTTTTGCACTCGACAACACTTTTCTCTATCTATAGGAAAAACTGTCTCTATAAATTATTTTTATTCATGCTCCATATGTTCTCAAACAAAATGTTACTTTTGGATGCTCAATTGATTCACGTCATCGTAATGATGACGTGATTCAATTGAGCGCCTTAATTTTATTTGTTACAATTTTATTAAGTCAAATAAAAATAAAGAATCTTAATCCAGTAATCTTGTATTTGTGAAACAATTTCACAACGACATTTTCATTTGGCTGTCAATTTAATATCAAACCAAACCAATCACAAAAGAGCTAGGCTACACATTAAAAAGAAACAATGAATCAAAGCTGTGCAAAAATTAACATGAAAAGGGTGTCAAACCCAGGATAACATGTTCAGAAAATGGTTGTTACTAATAAAAGCGATTTCACACCAGGCCCCAGTTGTTCAAAAGGCGGATAGCGTTATCCATTGGATAAATGACTATCCACTGGATACCGCAATTGGTTTCCCTAACACTTATCCGTTGGACAGTGATTTATCCGGTGGATAGGGCATCCAACTTTTGAAGCACTGGGGCCAGATCAATAGGGAAATTACTTCAACATGTAATGGAGAAAAATAACTGGCTTTGAATTGCAACAGATAACATACAGCTAACAGCATTCAATTATGTTGCCATGGTCACATGGCACTGTCTCTAATATAAAACCTTGTGGCACACATCAACCACTGCTGTCCATTTCACCCTACTTTTTATTAATAATCCAGCACCCTAAAAAACAAGAAGAGAATAACAAGAAAATTACTGCTTTTATAGATCAAAACTGAGCAAACCAAAGGCAAATAAAAATAATCATGAGCATTTTACTACCTACCAGGTATTATTTTTCACTCATTTTTGATTTATGCTTCTTAATTTTCGCATTCCTGTTTTATGCATTCCTGTATTAAATACTCCTTCCCAGTGCATTCCTGTTTTATATGCCCTACCACCTCACTGAGACTCAATAGACTGTCTTGCTGCTCAATCTTTATTTTGCTATCTGTGTAACCTGTGAATATACTTTTGTGACGAAGAATAGGACAGGCTAAGACAGTGCTTGCTACACACCGGGCAGGATTAGTCTCTTCAAGGGCTATCTCTTCCATCTGAGATCCTCTACATTTATGTTGCTTTAAAGTGTCTCGGCGAGTGTACCCCTTACCACACTGGCTGCATTTGTGGGGCTTTTCTCCACTATGTGTTCTTTTATGCCGTCCGAGAGTCCCCACCTCGGTGAAACATCTTCCACAATGATCACATTCGTAGGGTTTTTCTCCACTGTGTATTCTTTTGTGATTTTTTAAAGCTCCACTTGTGCCAAAACATTTTTCGCACACATTGCATTTATGGAGTGTCTTTTGAATTCGATTGTGAGATATTTTATGGTAATTAAGATGTGCTGCTTGCTTATAACACTTGCCACACTCGTCACACTTATATGGCTTGTCATCACTATGGCTACGCATATGTCTTTTCAACTGATCACGATCACTAAAGGATTTGCAACACTGATCACATATAAAAGACTTCTCCTTTTTGTGTGTCAATATATGTCTGTTCAGATGCCCTACTTGTCCATAACATTTGTCACACTGGTCACATTTATAAGGCTTTTGTGTTTTTGTGGTGACGCATATTTTTTGATGTTCTCGTAGGTGAACTTCTTCGCCAAAACACTTACCACAGTAATTACATTTAAATGACATCTGTGTTGTTTCGGTTAGATAACAAACTAAATGTTCCAGTTATATGTATGCTAGAGCCTTGGGTGGCTCCACGTGAAAAAGAGCCTGCCCTGACAGACACAGATGTGGAAGTTTGGACTACCAAGACTTTCACCTTTCAGAATCTGTAACAAAGATTGGCAATAAAATCTGAATATTATTTGCAACACTGATACTGAAACTGGGTAAATTCGGTTTTTGCTTTACAATATTACTGGTGACTAAGCAGCCCAGTCCCTAAGCATTCTCTCCAAATTGCCTCATTGCCTGCGTGAAGTCTTGGAAAGGGCGGAGAAAGGGTGTTCTTGGAGAGTCTCTCTCAATGACATCAAAGCAAGAGTAGAGTCCAGGTTTGACCGAGCCAAGGATACCAGGGACTAAGCTGGTGACAATGTAGTTTAAGTAATATTGATGTGCTGATTGAAATTTTCCTAGATCATAAGATGCCAAAATGCTTCCATTAACACCAAAATCCTGAAAATGTGCTACCCCATTCTAGTAACTCTTTTGAAAAAGTAACCCCATTATGGCCAATCCAGTCATAAAAATGCGACTCCATCCAGCGGCACATCCCCATTAGCCTATCACCACTACACAGACTAGACTGAGTAGGAAGTACCCTTCCCGGGACACAGCTAGTGGCCTTGATGATGGTGATCAATACAATACAATACAAAAACTTGCATGAAAATGGAGTTCATGCCCAGTTCCCAGCGGAGAAAAAAACTTTCGATCTTCTCCAAGAAAATAACCGCCAATATTATTACCGATTATGGGATGCAAGTATGATCGGTAAAACTAGGGGGATGTGCCAAGTCATGTGTTCTCCACATTTTACAGCTGAAGGTTGGGAAAAAACAATGCAACGAAGTGCGCGAATCCTGCCCAGTACTCTATAAGTGATCCTTCTAACATACGATAGTTCATTGACGGTAGTTTTCCTTACCTTAATTAGCTGAAGGGTGAAGTAACGAATTCGC